TTATATGGCTGGGTGGAAGGGCACTTTGAGATACGACCTATAAACATGGAATTCATTACCCTCTTAAAAATACATAATGCAAAATACTTATGGTTCCTAACATTACCTTCTGCATGAAACAGAAACACTATTTTCTGCAGAAAACAGAAATTTTATTTTTCATGCAGAACAGAAGTATTGTTTTATGCGCTATGCTACTCTGCTGCTGAGTACGCATGCCCAGTGTGGAACACATCTCGCCACACTAAAACAGTGGATGTGGCTCTTAATGAGACATGCCGCATTATCACGAGGTGTCTGCGCCCTACACCACTGGAGAAATTACACTGCTTAGCCGGTATTGCACCACCTGACATCCGCCGGGAAGTAGCAGCCAATAGTGAAAGGACCAAGGCGGAGACATCTCCAGCTCATCCCCTGTTTGGGTATCAGCCAGCACGTCAACGACTTAAATCAAGACATAGTTTTCTAAGATCTACAGAGACACTCGCTGGAACACCTCAGCAAGCGAGAGTCCAAAAGTGGCAGGCTCAAACCCAGAACCTCAACCAATGGCTGATACCAGATGAGAGACTCCTCCTGGGCACACAGAAGACTGGGCGACTTGGAAGGCGCTGAACAGACTGCGCTCTGGCACCACGAGATGTAGAGCCAACCTCCAGAAATGGGGCCACAAAGTGGAGTCCACAACATGCGAATGTGGAGAAGAGCAAACCACTGACCACCTGCTGCAATGCACCCTGAGCCCTGCCACATGCACAATGGAGGACCTTCTTGCAGCAACACCAGAGGCACTCCAAGTGGCCAGATACTGGTCAAAGGACATTTAAACAACTACCAAGCTTGCAGACTTTGTGTTTTTTTTTTTTGTTCTGTTAGAAATGTAATACATTGGTCTGGTTGCCCTTGACACGATAAATAAATATAAATAAATATGACTAGTAGAGAAATGTGGTTTTCTGTGCAGAAAATGCTGTTTTCTTTGCAGGAATTGTTATCTTCTGCACATAAACGGGAATTCATCATAGAATATATCCCAAATTACATGTGTTCTATTTGAAGAGTTTCCCATAGCAGGAAAAAATGATAAGACCGCCTATTACAACCTTCAAAAACAAAATGAGCAAAGGATTGTATCCCCATTGAATTGTGATACTGTGGAAACAAATATTGCCTTCGAGCTGATATGAGCGGGGTAGAAATAATGCAAATAAATAGGCTTCTGCTTATGGGATGCATTGCACAATGCCCATATCTATGCATTATGTTTGTTTATGTGCAAAATATACAATTTATTCCTATAGGTTCATGTAATCCACATTGCTGCATAACAGCATTGCATAGGGTCTGGATGTAACTAATTTACATTTTAAGTATTGTCGAAGGCTTTCATGGCCAGAATCACTGGGTTGTTGTAGGTTTTTTCGGGCTATATGGCCATGTTCTAGAGGCATTCTCTCCTCCTAACGTTTCGCCTGCATCTATAGCGAGCAACCTCAAAGGTAGTGAGGTCTGTTGGATCTAGGAAAATTGGGTTTATATATCCGTGGAATGACCAGGGTGGGACAAAGAACTCTTGTCTGCTGGAGCTAGGTGTGAATGTTTCAACTGACCACCTTGATTAGCATTTCATTGCCTGGCAGTGCCTGGGAGGGAGAGCCAAGACTCCAGAGGACAGGAGCAGAATTCAAAACGATCTTGACAGATTAGAGAGGTGATGGGCCAAAACTAACAAAATGAAGTTCAACAGTGACAAATGCAAGATACTCCACTTTGGCAGAAAAAACGAAATGCAAAGATACAGAATGGGGGAATGCCTGGCTCGAGAGCAGTACGTGTGAAAAAGATCTTGGAGTCCTCGTGGACAACAAGTTAAACATGAGCCAACAATGTGATGTGGCGGCAAAAAAAGCCAATGGGATTTTGGCCTGCATCGATAGGAGCATAGTGTCTAGATCTAGGGAAGTCATGCTACCCCTCTATTCTGCTTTGGTTAGACCACATCTGGAATATTATGTCCAATTCTGGGCACCACAATTCAAGAGAGATATTGACAAGCTGGAATGTGTCCAGAGGAGGGCGACTAAAATGATCAAGGGTCTGGAGAACAAGCCCTATGAGGAGCGGCTTAAGGAGCTGGGCATGTTTAGCCTGAAGAAGAGAAGGCTGAGAGGATATGATAGCCATGTATAAATATGTGAGAGGAAGCCACAGGGAGGAGGGAGCAAGCTTGTTTTCTGCTTCCCTGGAGACTAGGACGCAATGGCTTCAAACTACAAGAGAGGAGATTCCATCTGAACATGAGGAAGAACTTCCTGACTGTGCGAGCCGTTCAGCAGTGGAACTCTCTGCCCCGGAGTGTGGTGGAGGCTCCTTCTTTGGAAGCTTTTAAACAGAGGCTGGATGGCCATCTGTCAGGGGTGATTTGAATGCAATATTCCTGCTTCTTGGCAGAATGGGGTTGGACTGGATGATGGCCCATGAGGTCTCTTCCAACTCTTTGATTCTATGATTCTATGATTCTATGATTGCCTCGCAGTGCCTGGAGCAATCTTTTGTTGAGAGGCGATTAGATGTGCCTGATTGTTTCCTCTCTGTTGTTGTGCTGTTGTAATTTTTTAATACTGGTAGCCAGATTTTGTTCATTTTCATGGTTTCCTCCTTTCTGTTGAAATTGTCCACATGCTTGTGTCAACAGAAAGGAGGAAACCATGAAAATGAACAAAATCTGGCTACCAGTATTAAAAAACTCTAAAATTACAACAGCACAACAACAGAGAGGAAACAAACAAGGACTTCTAATCACCTCTCAACAAAAGATTGCTCCAGGCACTGCCAGGCAATCAAATGCTAATCAAGGTGGTCAGTTGAAACATTCACACCTAGCTCCAGCAGACAAGAGTCCTTTGTCCCACCATGGTCATTCCACAGATATATAAACCTTTTTCCTAGTTCCAACAGACCTCACTACCTCTGAGGATGCTTGCCATAGATGCAGGCGAAACGTCAGGAGAGAATGCCTCTAGACCATGGCCATATAGCCCGAAAAAACCTACAACAACCCAGTGATTCTGGCCATGAAAGCCTTTGACAATACAATTTAAACTTTCGTTTTATTGGTGCCAATGATTTTAATGTGTTTTAATCTTGTTTCTATAGTTTGAAATTGCGTTATACGATCAGCGTGGACCAAGCCATAGACAATGCATTGAAGTGCACTATTTTGAGTCCACACTGACCATACAATGCAGTTTCAAACTGAATTATATGGCAGTGTAGATCCACCCTATGTCTTTTAATATATGTGTTTTAATTATCTTTTCTTTTACCTATGTATATTGTCGTTGTCGTTGTTGTTGTTATTGTTGATGTTTTATTGAATACAGAAGTTCTGACAAGGCAACAAAGTCCAACAGCTTCTATAGCATGATTACTCATAATGAGTTCTTCCAAGTTATGAATAGAGTCAACATACCCAAACCTTCCAGAGATGTGCACCTGGACATCCGCGATGTGGGCGCTGCAGTCCAAGGTGCTGGCCGTGGGTCTCCCGGAGGCATCGCTGCCCAGCGTCAGGCCCACAGAGATGGAAAGGCCTTCCACTTTGAGGTCAAAAGAGCCATGGTCCTTGCTGCTTGGAAACACAAGAAAACAAAGGATGGGCATCTGGGGATGCATTCACACTGGAGAATTAATGCAGTTTGATACCACTTTCACTGCCATGACTCAATGGTATGCAATTCTGTGAGTTGTAGTTTGGTGCAGCACCAGCCTTCTTTGAACACTTTTACCCCGCCTCCCTTCTCAACCCCTGGGGGGTCTCCAGGCGGCTTCCAATTGGCAACAATTCAATGCCACATAATAAAATACAAAACACCAATAATTACAATAATTAAAAGCATAAAAAACATTAAAACAATATAGTTACAGTCTACCGAACTATTACCAGTCTGGTGGTCATTATCTAGCCGTATGAGTACTTATCCATAATCCATTTCTAAGCCATTGTCAACATTAGGTTCTTGTGGGTTTTTTCGGGCTATAGAGCCATGTTCTAGAGGAATTTCTCCTGACGTTTCGCCTGCATCTATGGCAAGCATCCTCCTAGCTCCAGGAGACAAGAGTCCTTTGTCCCACCATGGTCATTCCACAGATATATAAACCCTTTTTCCTACTTCCAACAGACCTCACTACCTCTGAGGATGCTTGCCATAGATGCAGGCGAAACGTCAGGAGAAATGCCTCTAGAACATGGCTCTATAGCCCGAAAAAATCCACAAGAACCTAGTGATTCCAGCCATGAAAGCCTTCGACAATACATTGTGAGTGTAACTTCTTTGTGTGCATTCCAATACTATAATTTTGAAGTATTTCTTACTAGAATAAG